TTCTCAGGGGCGCCACTGGCGATGGACTTGGAGCCACACTCGCGAGAACAACGCGACAGCTATGAAGTGCATCAACCATCGTCTCTATCAAACAACCAGAGACCCAATGGGTCGGATAGACAGAAGGCATCATCAGCTGCCATAGAGTTTTAATGAATCGCTCGCATTCTCAGGGCATCATCTGCATGAATCCATGAATCCCCCCCAACACGCATATTTTGTATCTGTAGAGCAATTGCATTCCAGAGCTCAGGCTTAGGGTGTGATTGACAGTCTGACGTGGAAGACGCAGAACTCTGGGCCACCGTTAACACCCCTGTAATCTCGTCCATGGTTCCAGCTCGATCCACCCCATTGTATCCCGCACGCCCCTTTTTCACATCGCAACACAGCACTCCACATCTAGTTATTGAGCCATTGCCGGGAGGAGGGGAGGTGGCTTCCCTGTTTTCAGGTGGCACCATCATCGGGGGAATTTAACGTCACGGCTAGGACGATCATCTGTGAGGCTCTTTGCTTTTGCAACGACCACGCGGTGGTTGTGAAATTGAAATTAACCTCCGGATGAACGCCGCGTGTTCGGCAAAGGTCAATTGAGATCACTGCTCGCCCATTGTTTGGTGATGTCACGTTGGGAGTGGTACAAGAGCGAAATTAGCAAGAGAACTCGACACATTCGTAGATAATCCTTAAGAGATTAGGATAAATGAGGAGATATCAGAAGTATTGAGCTGATGGGCTCAGCGTAGCAACCGATGAGTGCACACGTAATCAATCTAGTAAAACATAATCCAACATAATCATGTTACACTTGAGATTTTGCTTGATTACAGCTAGGAAAACTGCATCTGTGCTTTGATTTGCATGCGAGAAACCCACTTGGCAGGGTGTGTGGGAATGTGCGCCGTTGAGTGAGAATAAGAGGCTTTAGTCATTAATTGACAAAGTTCTTCCAGGACCGTTCTCTGGCACACAGTGGTGCACTGTTCATTTTACAAGTTTCAACGTCAAATATTACGGGTCAGTCACTTGACGTGGACAGCATAGTTGAAGTATAATTATTATAATTACTTAATGGTGATCGGGAGTGTAGCGGTTAATCGATTCCGAGGCCAACACCAGTGACGATTATCAGAACCAGTCATCTGCCTCCCCTAGGTCGACTTGGACTCAAATGACTGAAGTAGGTCTGGACCTAAACCAGCTGAAGAGCATTGCAGGGATGAGTTTGCACTTTCCATTGTGTATTATATACATAGAGGTGTGTGCACCTATCCTGGTACAAGCATTGTGTCGATTGTACGCGTTTTACGAAACTTCACTTTGCTGAAGTGGCGTTGATGGTCACTCGCCACTGATGTTCGCCGTGGCTGACGATCAAATCCATGTTTACAGCGCAGTCCGCTAATCACTGGGGTCACCACTCCTCGCGTTCTTTCTAACGTAAGCAATACAAAACAACCTTCTACATATGTTCATAATTGCACGTATGTATGTTGAATTTTGTTCGCACCGTACGTAGCCAACTACTGCGAAGGCTACTTTATTATTCATCATCACGAGGAGGCAGAGAGAGGCGAGAAGGCTGAGAGTTCTACGCAGCTCACAGTCCCAGGGGTTTCTGTCCAGCCAGATGTAAGTGAGGCTCTTGAGGTTATCAAAGGCGCCCCTGGGAATGCTCTTCAGCTGCTCCGCGTTGATGCGCGATTGCTTTGCACTGCGTTCTGTTAAAATCGCAATGCAAGTCACGCGTGCACGGCTTCACGTGTGATGACATCTGCGCTCACTGAGCAGAGCGTGAAATCAAACAGGTGAGGAAGTAGACACGACCCACATCAGGGCGACTTGAGATCGGTCAAATCAGTGATGGTTCATGGTAGTGATGATGTAGACAAGGAGTGTTACGGAATCCTTGATTCAAACAAATTCCTTCTCTCTCACACAAACGCGTTGTCTCTCCATAGCTGATGCTTACTCACTTTGCCAGGTACTCACTTAAGGCTGAGTCGATGGAGGGGAGGCCCAAACCGGGTTCAGATATTCAAGACTGATACTAGCTATAGTCATGTCTGCCTTGCGGTCGCCAACTGAAATGAACACCCCTCTGCCCTCGCTTGAACGTCACTACAAATGCGAGTGCAGACACCGCGTGCCCCGCGTGATGACAATGCATCCCCCGTGCCTTAATTAATTACCTGCCTCAGTCTTCACACAGAGACCCGCATCAGCAGTGCCGCAGCGAGTGCAGTGAGCGCAGAGGAGTGAATGGCCGTGACCGTTACAAGACTCTCGCACAAAGTCAACAAGAGCAGCAGCAGATTCACGCAGATATCCTGCAGAGGCGCGGGTCGCAGATATCGGCTCTGCCCGCAGGGGTGTTTGACAGTCTCAAGCACCTGGCGAACTCACACCTGCATTACAACCAGCTGTCGACTCTCCCTGAAGGGGTGTTTTATTAACTCACCCAGCTCACTGTTCTGAATCTGCGTCACAATCAACTGAAATCCGTTCCTGCGGGCGCGTTTGAGCGGCTGGTGAGTCTACAGGAGCTGTATCGGTACAACAACCACGTGGACAGCGCTCCTCTCACAGCTCCTGATTGACTCGCTAAGTTGTAGAGGCTCTCTGTATAATAAACGCACCACGCCTTGTGCAATGCGGGTTTTACCAATTAGCGGGTACTGTGCAAAATATAAAGAATAAAAAAAACATGCATATGCAAGGCTTCTGTAACGCTTATTATTGATTCTTGTAATTTGAGAGCTCCCGTTTTCCTGTCACATGTGCAGTGTTTCTATTTCACATGGACAACTTATTTTTCTTCTGTCACTTTTTATTGAACAGAACTCCTCGCGTTCTACACCCCGTAACTCCGTCGTGATTTCCCCGCTTGCGCTGCTCGCCTGCTTCGCTCCCCCTCTCACTCTCCTAGCCTCTCCACTGCTAGCCTTCTCTCTCTCACTCTCCTAGCCTCTCTACTGCTAGCCTTCTCTCACTCACTCTCCTAGCCTCTCCACTACCTGCCTTCTCTCTCTCTCACTCTCCTAGCCTCTCCACTACTTGCCTTCTCTCTCACTGCTAGCCTGTTCTCACTCTCCTAGCCTCTCCACTGCTAGCCTGTTCTCTCTCTCACTCTCCTAGCCTCTCCACTGCTAGCCTGTTCTCTCTCTCACTCTCCTAGCCTCTCCACTGCTAGCCTGTTCTCTCTCTCTCACTCTCCTAGCCTCTCCACTACCTGCCTTCTCTCTCTCACTCTCCTAGCCTCTCCACTACTTGCCTTCTCTCTCTATCACTCTCCTAGCCTCTCTACTGCTAGCCTGTTCCCTCTCTCACTCTCCTAGCCTCTCCACTGCTAGCCTGTTCCCTCTCTCACTCTCCTAGCCTCTCCACTACCTGCCTTCTCTCTCTCACTCTCCTAGCCTCTCCACTACTTGCCTTCTCTCTCTATCACTCTCCTAGCCTCTCTACTGCTAGCCTGTTCCCTCTCTCACTCTCCTAGCCTCTCCACTGCTAGCCTGTTCCCTCTCTCACTCTCCTAGCCTCTCCACTGCTAGCCTGTTCTCTCTCTCACTCTCCTAGCCTCTCCACTACTTGCCTTCTCTCTCTCTCACTCTCCTAGCCTCTCCACTGCTAGCCTGTTCCCTCTCTCACTCTCCTAGCCTCTCCACTACTTGCCTTCTCTCTCTCTCACTCTCCTAGCCTCTCCACTGCTAGCCTGTTCCCTCTCTCACTCTCCTAGCCTCTCCACTACTTGCCCTCTCTCTCTCACTCTCCTAGCCTCTCCACTGCTAGCCTGTTCCCTCTCTCACTCTCCTAGCCGCTCCACTGCTAGCCTTCTCTCTCTCTCACTCTCCTAGCCTCTCCACTACTTACCTTCTCTCTCTCACTCACTCTCCTAGCCTCTCCACTACTTGCCTTCTCTCTCTCTCACTCTCCTAGCCTCTCCACTGCTAGCGTGTTCCCTCTCTCACTCTCCTAGCCTCTCCACTACTTGCCTTCTCTCTCTGTCACTCTCCTAGCCTCTCCACTACTTGCCTTCTCTCTCTCACTCACTCTCCTAGCCTCTCCACTGCTAGCCTGTTCTCTCTCTCACTCTCATAGCCTCTCCGCTGCTAGCCTGTTCTCTCTCTCACTCTCCTAGCCTCTCCACTGTTTGCCTTCTCTCTCTCTCACTCTCCTAGCCTCTCCACTACTTGCCTTCTCTCTCTCTCTCACTCTCCTAGCCTCTCCACTGCTAGCCTGTTCCCTCTCTCACTCTCCTAGCCTCTCCACTGCTAGCCTGTTCTCTCTCACTCTCCTAGCCTCCCCACTGCTAGCCTGCCCCCCATGCTTCGCTCGCTTCGCTCTCTCCACTGCTAGCCTATTACTATACACTCTGATAGCTTCTCCACTGCTAGCCTCTCACTATATCTTCTGCTAGCTTCTCTACTGCTAGCCTCTCACTATATTCTCTACTGCTATCCTACTGCTAGCTCCTCTACCACTAGCCTTCCGCTATATACTCTGCTAGCTTCGCACGCTCACACTTAGGATTCCCCTAGCTTCTGTACTGCTAGCTTCGTACGCTCACACTTAGGATTCCACTAGCTTCTCTACTGCTAGCCTGTTCTACCCTTGTCTCTCCAACCTCGCCCTTGCCTCCAGTAGGGGTTTAGCCATCACCGCTGGAGAGAGCGAGGTGTGGAGAGCGGGGCCTTGGACTTCTCTTGTCTGTCGTCTTGTCTTCACTCCGACCAATTCAACTCACTCGTAACTCCGCACATCGCCTTACATCTCAGCCGGTGGCTGGAGCCGAACTCGGGAAACGCGTACAGCGCTGTCGGCGCTCAATGCCCTGGGTCAGTTGTAAATCTATTCAGCGAGTAGTAACAGGCTAATGCGAAAGGGAGACCTGGGATACAAGCAAATAATGCATAACACAAGCTGAAAAGTTATTTACAAAATCTCGAAACTAACTAAAGGCAAGGAAACAAGATTAAGTATAAAATTATTAGAGCAAACTGTATGTGTGTAATATGTCCAACGCAATGGGCATTTGTAAACGTGACCTTTAATTTTCAGCTATTTGCAAATTCAATCTGGCTTCAGCGCCTCCATCAGTCGCGCTGGGGAACGCTCCTGAGCTGGTTGGTGCTCAGCACTATGTGAGTGAGCTGTGTGAGTTTGTCAAACACCCCAGCGGGGAGAGAGGTCAGCTGGTTGTTGTTCAACCACAGCCGCTGCAGATTCACCAGGCGGTCAAACACCCCCTCGGGAAGAGCCTGCAGCTGGTTGCCACTAAGATCCAAAACAGTCAGCTGGGTCAAAACGCGAATAATCGGAGAGGGTACTCGTTGCTTATGCTTATGCTAGAAATCTCTTATTTAAAGTGACCTCTGTTCATTACCATGACATCAGTTACGCACAGTGACATACGTTCAATATCATTAAGATGTATTAGAGCTCAAAGCGACCACTAATCACTTTAATGTTGATAAGTTCAAGAACTGGATAGCTATTCACATCACAGTTAAAACCACCATCAATCGCTTTCATAGACAAGTATATCGTTAAAGCAAATCCGTTCGCTTTCATATGCCTGAAATAAATATCACTTCTTCCACTGTCATCTGTTAGTTAACACGAACTAAATTCTATTCACTTTCTTAAATAAATTTAACATAAAGCTAGGCACATTCACATTCATTGATAACTGCTAGTTTAAGTGACCTTGATTAAGAATCATATATGTTTTTTTTAAGGCGACCTCTATTCGTCCTTAATTACTACTATAATAGCCCAGAAATGTGTGTAACGCGCGTGACGTCACTCCACATGCCCCCCCCGCCCATCCGTCATTAATAATAAAATAATCATGAGCGGGTGGATTTTTACATTCATGCGGAAGAAGGTCGAGTGGAAAGATATTTTTTTTCGCAAAGTTGCTTCAAATATGACGTTATACCATAGGGCTCATTGCATTTCTGACCAATACCACCTGGCCAGTGAATTAAAACATGTACATCTGGCCCTCAAGATGAACGGTTACTCTGTACCATCCGCCAAGCTGTTTCTCCCACCATACAGAAACAACCACTTGACACTCCGATCAAAATCATCACGTTACCATACATAGCAGGCGTTACTAAAAAGATTTCCAAAATTCTAAACAAACACAAGATCCAGGTCTGGTTCAACACAGTACACAAAATCCGTGATCTGATCCCATCCGTAAAGGATGTTATTCCTGACTTACAGTACCCCGGGGTTTACAAATTGAGTTGTACCTGCGGTGACTGCTATATCGGGGAGACGAAACGACATATCTCTGACCGAATTCGCGAGCACAAATCAGATTTGAAACACGGCAGAACGAATTCTTCTGCCGTGGTTGATCACTGTTACAATGCTGTGGGTGATCATGATATTGTTTTCTCCGATACCAAGGTACTCTGCAAACCTACCGGTTATTATCAGAGATTTGTCCACGAGGCCATCCAGATATACAAACACAAACACAATTTCAACCGAGAGGATGATTTCAAATTAAGCAACCATTGGAAAAATCAAGTCAAACGTTAGCTACCTTTTAATTGTGCAGCAATTCTCAATGGTGGTATGCCAAACTTTAGATGCTTTTTCCGCATGTGTTGGCAGTCCACCACAGCCTTCCACCCGAACCCTCTGCAGCTTAAAAAAAGCGGCTTGACTCAGCCCTCCCACCCACCCACGCCCCTTTCTGACTCATCCCCCCCCCTTAACCTCCGCATGTGTTTGCAGTCCACCACAGCCTTCCACCCGAACCCCTTGCAGCTTAACAAAAGGTGGCTTGACTCAGCCCTCCCACCCACCCACGCCCCTCTCTGACTCCTCCCCCCCCTTAACCTCCGCATGTGTTTGCAGTCCACCACAGCCTTCCACCCGAACCCCCTGCAGCTTAACAAAAGGCGGCTTGACTTAGCCCTCCCACCCACGCCCCTTTCTGACTCCTCCCCCCCCCCCCCTTAACCTGTATATAAACCCGATCATCTCAGAGCTGTGTACTTTACACAGATTTTCTGCTGAGTATTCCACCTGAAGACGGAAGCTTGTGTTGCCTCCAAAACGTTGTGATTAAATTGTTTTATTTTATTTTACCTACGTGACTTTACCGAATAAAACCAACGAGTATGAATTATTGCAGTCACGAAAGCTTCAAATCTAGAATTAAACGCATTTTCATTTAATAGTCACATTGAGCAGAATTCTGATGATGGAATCTTCATTTTATTTATTTTTCATTTTTGTCATTGTTTGTTCTCTGGTGAGGCTGCACCACACCCAACAGTAGATAGACAGGATGGCCGTGCATGTGCATGCATGTGGTCTCTGCATCGCACTTGCAGTGCTCGTGTCACATGAAACCAGAGAGCAGAACGCGTGGGAATTCTCTCCAGCAAGTTCGTTTCCAGATCCAGACGAGTCAGCTGGGTGACTCTGTCAAACAGCCCAACGGGTAGAGCTGTCAGCTGGTTGCCGTACAAATGCAGCTCCTTCAGATTCACCAGGCGGTCAAACACCTCCTGCTTGAAGGTTTTGTTAAGTGACCCGGGAAATTAACTTAACATAAACACGTTCGCTGGGGAGTGTCATTATGTGAGGTTTGTGTGCTGTCCTCCGCTTGCAACTTCATGCAGCGATGATGATGATTTTTACGAGGATGATGATGAGTGGTGGAATGATGATTGGTGATTCACAATATTGATTGTGTTGGTGCATAATACCATGATGCTGCTCCTATTTACGATGATGACGCTGCTGTTGATTGTGCTGATGAGAGACATTCCTCCATTGGGTCGCGCTCTAGCTCAGTGTGCTCACGTTGGCGAGTGGAAGGGAAAATCCTTGAGCGTGGCTGCCGATTGTCCAGCTCTCTGAGCCAAACTCTCTCGCGGTGACCACAGCCATCACCAGATCAACAATCGCTGTGTAGGGCGCGCACGAGGCAGTGCTGCTGATCGAGGCAGAGTGCGGGGTTTTGCTGCTGAATTATAAACCGGACTCCTTGTTTTTGTCCAAGGGGCCGTCCATAAATGACGTCACGCACCTAGGGGGGGGGTCAGACATTTGTGACGATGTGTGACGAGGGGGGGGGGGGGTTTGAGAAATGTGACGTCACATCAAAATGCGCAACTTTAATATAAATATATACAACACGTTCTACTTAATTAAATAGACTTTTTTTATAAATGTTTTCTCCTACAATATCAGAGTGCAGCGCCACATTAAATACGCACTACAATGACAATAGTTTAAAGCGATTTGAAGAATGTTTTATTTTTTTGGGGGGTGGGGGGGGAAAAGCTTTGTGACGTCATATTTGAGGGAGGGTCTGATTTTTGTGACGCCATGTGACGATGGGGTTAGGGGGTCAAAAATCGTCGAAAATCGCGTGACGTCATTTATGGACGGCCCCCAAGCAGCACAAAGACAATTGCAGCATCAGATTGCTAAACAAGTTGCTCCACTGGCATAGCCAGTGGGGGGGGGGGGGGGGGGGCACGTGTCCCCCCAATGATCCAATCGAAATCCCTAATTTCGATCGGATCATTGGGGTTTATTGTAATAAATCGGCATTTTCCGACCCCCATTGCCACTGTGTAGCATATTATTACGTGCCAGGTACTCTATGAGATGATAGGACAATAGTCTGAGTCCATAATTGGCTATAAGTAACGATAAAGCAGTTATAAGTGACTCACAGAATTGTGCGCAGTTGCGTATATAGTACACGACTCCCCTGAAGGCAAACACCTTCAGCGAGCGCGATTCCAATCACACACGGTTCGAACTCGACCCTCGATCGATGGCTGCGCCATCGCCGCACACGCGTCAAATAAAAAGTAAGGGACAAGTCCTTACTTAATAACTCCTATAATTTTTCATTGCTGGAGGGGTTGCCCCCCTTCCCTGAAAATCCTGCCTCTGCCATTGAGTTGCACACAGGTGCTGCAGTGAGCCGATTAAAATTAAGATTTCAATCTCAGTTTGTAAGTACACGTGCTCCACGTGTGTTTGTGTGCGTGTACAGGTACTCCACATGTGTCCGTGTGCACGTGTTCCACATGACGCAGACACGGTTAGCGCCTCGCATAGGACGTGGTTATCAATCATCGGGCATGTACAGCGTGTAAGGACTTAATTTCTACGTGAATGCAGTTAAATTGGTAAACGCGGAAGACGTAGCGTGATAGGTCTCTAAGAATGCATGGAGCTTTGGACACCTTACCTTCGAGTTATGGATCGAGCTAACAGAGCAGAGCAAATGAGAGAGATAAACGAATCAGACTTAGACAGTGTAAAAAATATGCAAGACATGATGAGTGAACTAAAAGCTTAGAAGTTGAAGAAGCATTATGTACAGTGAGTTTAAGAAGCGATTTTAATAGAGTAATCAATGCAATATGCAATACGCTCGTAAAAAATATAATGTCAACAAATTTTTATGCTCATTTACGATATTAAATAAACACCGACATCAACATAACTTGTCAAGGTGCAATCGTTGTATATACAATATCAGTAGCGTTTACTTCAAACTATATCACAAGTTAACTAGTATCATTGTGAGGGATTGCAGTGTTGGTTGATCCCCTGCTGGGGGCAGGGACGAGGGTGGAGGTGTGAGGGAAGCAGGACAGGTAAGTAGAGTATAGAGTGAGAGAGCTAGCGGGGAGACAGTGGTTACCGCGCACGAGGTGTGCGGCAATGAGTAGGGGGAAGTAGGGGAGTTCGCAACAAGGGTGTGTGTTAGTGTGAGGAGCATCCCCACTGGATGCAAGGTAAATAAAGTGACACAGGAGAAAGGCTAAGAGTGTCCATGTGAGTAAGCTACTACATATTTATATCTAGGTATTCTCAGGTATTTGGTAAACAATGAGGTAAAACCTTCGGTTTATGTTTATTCTGTTTCTGTATGTAGTTCGTTTTCAGCATTTAATTCTTAAATTGTCATGCTGTTTTAATCCAGTAATAACTATTCTACAACAAAATAACAACTTTATGAAGCGTTTTGTTGCGTGGGGGGAAGAGTTGGAACGTTAATCATAATCTAAATAAGCATCGTTGCCATTGAATCCTAACGAGAACCGATTCTGAAATCGACTCCAAAATAATGGAATCTGTCATCCCTCAGAGTAGTATCCCTAAAACACTGCACACTATCTAATTTACAGTGGACGCTATGTGTTGGGTGGTGCCATTAAAAACGAGTATGCCATTATTTGCCACGATCATGATCCACATTTTCCATATTCGAAATATCTCACTCAAATGAATAATTTCCGATTACACAGAGCATCGTCATCCAATACTGGTAGACTAATGCCTACTTGCAGGCCAGGTGTGCCACACAGGGACAACTGCCACTGGGGGGTCCCTTCGAATATTTTAGATGAGATTAGAGGTTAGGCGTTTTTAGTTGCTAAGGCATTTAATATGGTACCATATACATGCTAAACATTACTATGATTGTTATAAATAGAGAGGAGGTTGATGAATCAGATGCATCGCGCTTTTGGGATTATCAACCCCAGCGCTGCTTTTTTTCGATTTTTTTTCTTCAAATATTATCGTGATGGTTGTTATCGGTGTCACGTCACGTGATAAATAATTTATTTGGAACTCAGTGGGACCCTTTGTGTTGGCGAACAATGCACGCACACGGATACCACAGAGCTACTTCTAAGATCCATTCAAGTTCCTTCTGGCCCACACACAGTAGAGGAGAGCATTTTCCCCACTCGCTCTGATTATGAGAGTAATGTCTGTCGTTTGATAGTTAAATCGATAAATTAGTTATCCGAGCTAGTATTTAGACCAACAAAATTTGGTTAAAGTGCACAACCACCTGCACTTCACACTGAGCTAATTCGCTGCGTTTTAGCCTCCTGGAAGGACCGCTGCATCTTACAGATGTGAAGCCGTCAGTCAGTTGACAGAGCAGCTCCGCGGTAGGTCCTAGTGTCAAGGACATGTACCCACATTCGCTTTGCTGTCACTGTTTAGTCCAGTAGATGGTCTTGATTGGAGCCAGCGTGCACTCATGATGTTGTGCGAATGCAAAACAAATATTGTCACGCACACACAGCCAAATAGCTATCGGATGATTAGACAAACCTCCAACTTTTGCTTTAAAATACTAGTGAAATAATGCTTCTTATAATATACAATGAGAAATTGCGTTCCAAGATATATGTTATGCACAAGTCTGGAAGAGAACATGGCAGATGAGTGATGTGAGTGCAGCCAAGTGGGAGAATAATCTGGCTTGCGCGATGAGAGCCCAAACCATGTAACTCGCAGTGTCAAGGAAACGCACAGCCAGTGCGGTGTGGGCACTGAGTGTGCTTAAGACAGAGACAGTATAGTGGGTGTTAAATTCAGAAGATATCTCTACAAACCCGCGTTGTGTAACAGTTCTGTTGAACTCCTAACGAATCTTTGACTCCTGAGTTTGAGAGAGTTGTGAAGTTGCTACCAGATTGACTCAAAACTATCTGGGACGACACATTTGGCTACAGTTGGAATCTTGTTATCATATCTTGAGTGGAGCATCCATTTCCTACCTCGGTGCAGATTTATGATACAGAAATAGCTGATTCACTCCAGTTAATCGCTTTCTGATCACTCTTCTATCAATACTATTAAGATGCATAACACTGATGCCTATCTGAATGCAAATTCACATTATCACCCAGCTCAGAAATCGTCCATTATCAAGACACTCATACATCGGGCTAAAACAGTGTCAGATGGTGAAAGTCTAGTGAGAGAGATTAAACATGTTAAAAAAGCACTACAACAGAATGGCTACAATAATGCTCAAATTATCAGCACTGAATGCCAAATCACGTACGCAAAGCAACACTGCTGAAAGCGATCAGATTGTTCAAACAATTAAAATAGCATAAATCTCAGCAGTAACTGACAAATTAGCCTGTGTTTTGCAAAAGCAAAACATTAAAGTAAGATTTGGTACAGGACACAATTCAAAAACTGGTATCTGGCAGCACTAAAGACGAATTGCCTAAATTACTAACAGAAGGTGTATATCGGAGTAATTGTTTATGTGGCAGATGCTATATTGGTCAGGCGGGACGTAACATCAGCGTAAGACTAAAATAACACCAAAGAAATATTAAATTCTCTCAAACACAACTGTCGGCAGTGGCAGAGCATGCTTGTCAACAAGGATACTCAATTGATTTTGATAACGTTGAAGTGTTGTGTAAAACTAATTATTACTGGCCAAGACTAATTAGAGAATCCATTGAATTTGAGAGAAATAGTAATAACTTTAATCGCTCTGAGAGCTACAGGCTTAGTGCGGCCTGGAAGCGAATTATTAAATTAAATAAATATTACAATTCCTTATAGGGGAAACAAATACCAATGCATAACAATTGAATGATTACAAATCTATTATATAATTACAATACCCTCCCCCTCTCGGCCTTAAATCACTGCACCAGATTGAGTTAAAAGATGACGTCACCGTGCTGCTCTATTTAAGACCGGG